CCCGCCGCAGCGGCCCCTGGCGGCCGGAGGACCGCGGACCGGGCGCAGAGCGGAAGTGCAGCCGCAGAGCCGGCTGGACAGGGCCGGCGAGGGGCGGCTCCCCCGGCCCACCTGGCGCCGTCGCAGCAGGCCCCCACCACGTTGTCCGGAGGGAGCCCGAGGGCCCAGCGCAGCTGCTCTGCCCAGAGGGCTCCACAAGGATGAGGACCCAGGAACGCCCAGGCCCCGGAGCAGCTGGTGCTGGACTGGACCCCCAAGACCCAGCCCGGCAGAGAGGGCAAGCAGCTTGTCCACCACCGTCAGGCTGTGGCCGGGGAGGGCTCAGCCACCCTCGAGGACCCCTGCACTTGCCTTGCTTCCCATAAACAAAAGGAAATCAAAGGAGAAAGTGCTTGAGAGCGCAAAATATTTTATTTAACCATCTGCGATGTAACAATTTGCATTTAGGAAAAATAGCAGCTCCCGCCTCGGAGGAAGTGTCTTGAATCAAAAGTGGTTGGCAGTCTACACAGGACAATCGGCAGGGACGAGGGGACACAGAGCCCACACACGAGACCTCCTCAACGAAGGTGACAGGGACAAAAGGGCCAGTCACACGAGTCTGTGAGACAGTGGAGACATTCTGTGGTCTTTCCTGGGTGATCCCAGTGAGCCAGGACAGCAGGAGGGGCCTGGGCTAACTCCACATTTACAGTTTCTACTCTTTGAATCTAAAGTACCCAGCAAACGGTTCCTGTTCCCGCAGCAGAGCCTACAGAAACGATCGCCCTACTCATTTTATAAATAGCCCACTCTTCTTCGGACTCTTAGACAAAAACGTGAAGGCTTTGGAGAATAGCTGATGAAGCCTTAAAGCTGGAGGAGTCCAACAGGACGCTCCACTGCAGCTGAGTATGGCTGAGTCAGTCACCTATCAGCTACCTAAGCTCTCAGTGTGGGAAGATTCAGGGGCAGAAATACTCGATTCCAGAGCTTCTGTCAAGAAATTGTTGTGAGCCACTTTCTTCAAGATGTTACCAGTCCCTTCAATGATATCAGAGTAGCAGGTCAACAGGCTCACAACCCAGTACCCGCTCCTCGATGTCGAGGGCACCACTGTGCAGCCCTCCCATGGAGCCTGACCAGAACACGCCCCAAGGCAGACGTGGTGCAGTCACAGATGTCACATGTGGATTATCTGGATCAGCCAGAACCCCCCAAAATCTGAGCCTGCCAGTCACCTTCAGAGTATAAACTTTGCCGTGGCTCTTTGTCGGCAGCGGCACAGACTGTGTGGCTGGGCCGAGCTGGTCCCTTTGGTTGTGTGAAATCACTTGTGGCCCTAGCAGGGCGCAGGAGCGTAAGTGAAGCCGGAAAGGCCGCCGCTGCCGGGAGGAAGGCCCTCTCAGAGGCTGACTGTGACCACCCAAGTCAGTGCCCGTCTCCGCTCAGGTGCTGGTGGAGAATGTCACAGCCTCTGAAACGAACAAGAGTGTGACACCCTCACATTGTTCTTCCGGCTGCAGAGATGGTGAGTCAGGAGCTGCCTGTGGTGGCAGACCAGGCACCAAGGCCCTCGCCCTCCCACACCACTCACTCTCTGATCCAACACCTGAAAGGGGGCAGGGCTGGCAAGGGCAGAGCTTGCCAGCCTCTGAGCTGCCTGCTGGCCGAAGGCACTTCTCCCTGGTAGCAGCAGCCTTTCCAGTTTCATGAATGTGACACTTAGATGATTAAGATTACATACTCTGACCATTCTCGAATGACTAAGAAGGTAACATCCTTAAAGCATTCTTGTAGGTAAAAGGTTCTGAGTAACAGATTGGCTCTTTTTATCCAGTATCTGAAAGGAACCGAGAATTAATTCTGGCAGCAGTTCAGAATGACAGGCTGTCCGTTTCGGGACAGAAGACAGTCAGCAGCAGTCACTCCGAGTTCTTGATGGAGAAGATATTTCAGGGTCCAAATGCTAATCCAGAACAGAACATTCTAGTTCAATGCTGGCTGTTGCCTCTGGCCCATCCTCCCCGTCCTCGAACCTCCCGAGGCAGCAGAGACCTGAAACAAAATGAACAGCACTGACTTCCACCTGCCAGCTCCCAAGGGGGCTGCCCGATATCACGCACGATGCTGGTCTATGGACTGAGACAAAACAGGTGGTTTTACATGAACAAGTGGCCGTTGTTTTCATTTCTAATAGCCTCTGACGGTAGTAGTAAACCTCCGCGTTCCCTCTGACAGCAGTGTTAAACCTCGGCGTTCCCTCTGACAGTGGGTATTAAACGTCGGCGTTCCCTCTGACAGTGGGTATTAAACGTCGGCGTTCCCTGACAGTGGTATTAAAGCTCGGCGTTCCCTCTGACAGTGGTATTAAACCTCCGCGTTCCCTCTGACAGTGGTATTAAACCTCGGCGTTAGTAGTATTAAACCTCGGCGTTCCCTCTGACGGTGGGTATTAAACCTCGGCGTT